CGTCTGGCAGTGTAACGACAGTCCTGCCGCTGAACTGTGCTGACTCAGTTATGCATCTGGAACTTAACAAAGTACAACAGAGTTCACTTTTTAAACCAATAGAGACTGTGTGTGTTCCTCGCACCAGCTCAGAAATGTGTTTTAACCTGAATAAACACAAATTTAAAAGAAGGACAGCAGTTAGACGGTCCAACTCTGGAAATCTAATTCCAGTTCTTTGTAATCAATCAACTAAACCCACTGACACTGATATTAATTTTAACCTTGCTCTACTTAATGTCAGATCACTGTGCAACAAATCATTTTTAATTAATAATTTTATCTGTTCGTATGATCTTGATTTTATGTTTATGACTGAAACATGGCTTGACCATAATACAGGAGATGCAGTTTTAATAGAAGCCTCACCACCAAATTTCAAATTTGAATATGAAACACGAGAAAATAAAATGGGGGGGGGCATAGCAGCAGTTTTTAAAGATCGTATTGTCTCCCATAGAGTGTCTCTTGGGAAATTTTCATCATTTGAGTATGTTTCTTTTAAAATAGAACAAAAGAAATCTTCTTCCATTCTTATTATTGTTGTGTACAAGCCGCCACAGTCATGCCATAGTTTCACTGATCATTTCACTGAGTTGCTTTCAGTTGTGTGCACAGATTTTGATGGTTTAGTCATTATAGGCGATTTTAATATTCATGTGGATAATGTTAATGACAGATACGGAAAAGAGCTGAGTTCCATACTTGAATCCTTTGGCCTCACTCAGCATGTGAGTGGCCCCACCCATAGCAGAGGACACACCCTGGACCTGCTTATCACGAAAGGGGTGAATATTTCAAAAGTTAATGTAGTTGATGTTGCTCTGTCGGATCATTTCTGTGTATTTTTTAACATGTGTTTTGCTACCAGACCACCCGCTAAATATGAAATTGTTAGAAGTAGACACTTAAATGAAAACACGGGTGAACTATTTATGGGAATGATCCATTTTGAGAACACATCATGTTCTACTGTAGATGAACTGTTTAACTCTGTCACCTCTAGTGTGTTGAATGTTCTGGACGCCATTGCCCTTATGAAGGTAAAAAGGGTCACAAATAAGCAAAAAGCCCCATGGATAAAAGCAGGCCCGGTCAGGGCACAGAAGCAAGAGTGCCGGAGAGCAGAGAGAAAGTGGAGAAAGTCCAACCTCCAGGGTGATTATAAACTCTTAAAAGAGAAGTTGTGTGAGTTTAACAGAGTACTACGTAGAACAAGAGAATTATACTTTTCTGAAACTATTGAAGGCTGCAGCAACAATCTGCGTGTTCTATTTTCAACAATCAATAGATTAACGAACCCCCCTGTTGAGTTGCCATTAGAACACTACTCCAAATCCAGGTGTAATGAGTTTGCACAGTTCTTCAGAGACAAGGTTCAGGGTATCAGAAATACCATCACCTCTACAACACAAGTAACAATGCAACATCCAGTGAGGCTTTGTGAGCTAGCTCAATTTGCACCTGTCAATGATGAAACTGTTAAAAAGATAATCACAGGTCTTAGTTCCTCTACCTGCAGTCTGGATGTACTACCTCCTAGATTCCTGAAGTCTGTTATGTGTAGTCTATTACCCTCATTGACACAAATAGTAAACATGTCTTTTTTATCTGGAACATTTCCAATGGCCCTGAAAAAGGCAGTCATCAGGCCCCTCCTAAAAAAGAGCAGTTTGGATGCTGCGGTACTTGAAAATTACCGTCCCATCTCAAATCTGCCTTTCATGGGAAAAATTCTTGAAAAAGTTGCCTACCAACAACTTACTGAATTTTTAATATCTAATGACTCATTTGACATGTTTCAGTCTGGCTTTAGACCACACCACAGTACTGAGACCGCTCTAGTCAAGGTAACAAATGATATTCGGCTTAACACTGATGCAGGAAAAGTCTCTGTTTTAGTCATGTTAGATCTGAGTGCCGCTTTCGACACTGTTGACCATGAGATTCTCATGCAGAGACTGGAGGACTGGGTTGGTGTTGCTGGTACCGTCCTAAGCTGGTTTAGGTCCTATCTAGAAGAAAGGAAGTATTGTGTGGAGATTGGAGACTATGTCTCAGATAATATGGCCCTGACCTGCGGAGTGCCACAGGGGTCGATTCTGGGACCTCTCCTGTTCAATATTTACATGCTGCCGTTAGGTCAGTTAATTCAAAGTATGAAAGTGTCCTACCACAATTACGCTGATGACACTCAGATCTATGTCTCACTGACTGCAGGAGAGCATGGACCGGTGGACTCACTCCTTCGCTGTATCCAGCGGATCAGTGAGTGGATGCAATGCAATTTTCTCCAGCTAAATGCGGACAAAACCGAAATGATTGTCTTTGGTCCCGAGAAACAAAGAGAGACCGTCATTTGTCACCTTCAGTCTCTCTCCCTAAGGCCTTTAAATAAGGTCAGAAATCTGGGAGTAATAATGGACTCTGACATAAACTTCAATAGCCACATTGGATCGGTAACATCAGCAGCTTTTTATCATCTGAAAAATATTGCCAAAATTAAAAATATTGTGTCCAGGGCAGACTTGGAGATTCTTATCCATTCTTTTGTTTCCAGTAGGCTGGATTACTGCAATGGCCTGCTCACAGGTATCTCCAAACATGCAGTAAAACAGCTGCAGTATATTCAAAATGCTGCAGCCCGAGTCCTGACTAGAACCAGGAAGTACGACCACATTAGTCCAGTCCTCAGGTCTCTGCACTGGCTTCCCGTGGCCCAGAGGATAGACTTTAAAGCAGCTCTCCTGGTGTACAAGTCTCTCCATGGCCTTGCACCAAAGTACATCCATGATATGCTAGTCCCATATGAACCAGCCCGGACTCTGAGGAGCGCAGGGACGGGACTCCTGTTAGTGCCCAGAGTCAGAACTAAACATGGGGAGGCTGCTTTTCAGATTTATGCAGCTAAAGTCTGGAACAGTCTTCCTGAGGATGTGAGACTGGCTGCCTCTCTGTCAATGTTCAAATCCATGTTAAAGACTTTTCTTTTTTCCTGTGCATACAACTAGAGAATTTTATCGTTTTAACACACCTTGTTATTTATTGTTGTAACTTTTTGTGTTTTTAACTATTTTATTGTTTTTAATTACTTGTGTGATTCTTATGTTTTTAAATTACTTATGTGATTTTAATGCTTTTTAATTACATATGTGTTTTTAATTGTATTTTAATGGTGATGATTCGTGCATTGTGTGGTGTGGACTGTGAGGCGCTTTGTGTTGCCCTGTGCAGGAAAAGCGCCCTATAAATAAAGATTGATTGATTGATTGATTGATTGATGAAGTCATGCAAGCTAGAGAGGCTGCTTTTCTGCCAATTGTATGTATAAACTTCTGCTGGTATCAAAACAAAAGTGAAGACTTTCGTTTTGTTATTGGCCTCCATGTTCTTAACAGACAATGCATATGTAGACCTTTCAGAGATGTTAATACATATAAATAGTTTGAAAACGAAAAAACCACATGGTTTACCAGGTCATGATGTCGCGATGGGTGACGTCCGGGGCAGGATGGCAGCATGCAGTAAACCAATGGGAGAGAGATGCTATTTGAAAGCAAGCTGGTCCTGCTGATGTTTGTGATTCTTCCAGATTTGGCCAGTATGCAAATTGCCTGTATGAAGCATGAGGGAGAACTTTCCAACCCCGCTTGTCTTCTGCCTCCTGCCTGAGTTAACTTGGGCTGGAGTCTGAGGACCCAATTGTTTTTTATGCAGAGTGTGACCAAGTGGATGGACACCTGTAGGAAGACTCCTCACAAGGTCAGTGAAAGTTCTTTGCCTTTTAGAGCAAGCTTATTTTGAATGGTTTACAGAAACAATACGCTCAAAGATTGTAGACTAGCCCAGATATTATAAACCCCGGATTCAGCACCAGTGGAAAACAAATTTAATCTTTTACATTAAGCGATATGTTGAAAATAAAACTAAAGAAAGAAAGTAAGAGTGTTGAAGATATGACTTGTCAATTTGAAGTTACAGCTTAGTGAAGCGAGAAATAAAGCCACACAAATTTTAAAAGGAACCAGTAATCAGATGACTAATATGCCTGCAGGAATTCCCACTCCACCGACGGAGTGGACAAGGGGAGGGGCAGAGGTTGGTGGGCGTCTGGGGCGGGGAGGTAAGAAGGGTGTGGAAGGCTGGACAAGGGGGCAGGGGAATTTGTTTGTGTGTCCCTCTGTTACCAGGCGTCGGTCACTGGGCGAGGGACTGCCCCTTTGGAGGAGAGGGCCTCTCTACTACCATGGAGCGCCTGAGATGGTGCGTCGGGAGGGGCCCCCAGAGAGGCATGGGACCCAGACAGAGGCGCGCGAGGCCCTCCCTCCCCTGGACGGCTTCCGTTGGACAACCTGGCCCCGAGAGATGGACAAATTGCCAGCATGGAACTACTGGGGCGAGTTGGGAACATGAACAATCTTTACAGGGCTGCTTTAGGAAAATCAGGGGACAAGTACCAGCAGAGCCTATGTAACCCCTGATGGCCTGGTGGCACTGCGCCACCTACTCTACCATCAATACAAAGATACGCCCTTCCGCTCTCTGACCCATCCTGGGTTGGATTTTGGGGGACACCTGAGTACTGCCACTCACTAAACGTTTAAAGACAAAATTTGGGGAACCTCAGACCTGTGACCTTTGTAAATGCTCCTAACAGCACTGTCAACTGCTGGGAAGAGGATTATTGATAAAAACCAATGCGTCAATTCTATGGGGACCGGTATGGTCTACAACGTGACTTTTCCAGGGGGACAAAATTTACAGATGTCTGTGACCGGGTCTGTATCGATGGACTCCTGCTGGTTCTGAGAGAAGAGATGGCCAGACCAGTATGCCAGAACATATACTGGGTGAGACTGGACCCAGGTACAACAAGGTCCACGGACAATAATGGTGTGCATCCGTAACCCCACCCCACACTTCCTCCTGTGCTCTCTGCAGGAGTGTACTTCGTGGTGTGCATGGCGCTCCTCATGCTCAGCCTCATCATGTCCATCGTGGGGGTCAAGCTGCTGCACCACGGGGGGCAGGAGGTGAGGGACATGTCGCTGTCGGCCTGTCTGCTGCACGCATACGCACAGACAGCAGGGGGCGCTCTCATATCCACAGACCCGCCCACGGAGCAGCTGCAGGACGGTGAGTGCGTGGATTCAGCAGTAAAATCAATTATTGCAAAATGTAACTTCTACTTCATCAGATATGCTTTTATACTTCATGTATTTTCAAAAATAAAATTACTAAACGGGGCAATGCACAATTAGATTAGATTAAAGTCCACTGTCACGTTATTACCCGCTTTGTCCCAGACCCTCATGCTGCTAAATTTTACAGATTAATACATAAATTATAATTTCTTCCACTTGAATATACAGCATTTCACACTTGCTTCTTTATTTTTCTACAGTCAGAAATGTTATATGTTCTGTTTTGTAACTGTGGATTCAAGGATATCTTAATCTGAATCTTAATTATAGATATAATATAGAGTTGGACCAGAGGTGTCAAAATATGCAGCAGAGAGATCCTTTTTAGTGGACCCAAAATGATTTTCCATTGTTATTTTTTATTAATTCAAATTAGTTAAAAAAAATAAAAATAAAAAGTGAAAATTGTTTTGAGAGTGAGGAACTAGTTAGATGGAATTCATGGTATTATTCATGTTTTTTACCCTGTTGGGTAGACACTGGCATTTTCTCTAGAGAATAACTATAAAACAATTATCTTGTTTTAAAAAGATACAAAAAATGTCTTCCTTTGAATGAAAAAAAATGCAAAAATTCTTGAACCAAGATTTGTCCCCATTATGGTCAGAATGTACTCACAAGATGAAAAACACTACATTTAGGCATTTATTACCTCATATTTTATCATTTTTTGTCAGTGAAATGAATGAACAATTCCATGTGAAGTGTCTTTGAGTAACAGAAAAACACCAAAGTTATATTATTAAAGTTACGTAGGAGGGTTTTCTACTCCCGGGTGGATCGTCAAGACTATTGGTCCCCTCCCGATTGTCAATCATTCTGGTGACACGTGCTCGTCCAATAAGACCAGAGAGTTTTGTTTTAAAAGTGCAGAGGGCGGTGTCCTCCTGTAAACCTTTGTATCAGAGGAAATGTTAAAAGTACAGAAAAGTAACCATTTGATCACAAAAGACAAACTATACACAAATAATGCAGATCTGAGACCTTTCCTTTGTATGAATATAAAACATCATGAAGCAGCAGATTAATGCTTCTGTGTGTGTGTGTGTGTGTCTTTGTGTGTTTGTGTGTGTGTGCGTGTTTGTGTGTGTGTGTGTGTGCGTGTATGTGTTTGTTTGTTTGTATTTGTGTGTGCATGTATGTGTGCGTGTGTGTGTGTGTGTGCGTGTATGTGTGCGTGTTTGTGTGTGTGTGTGCGTGTTTGTGTGTGTGCATGCGTGTTTGTGTGTGTGTGCGTGTTTGTGTGTGTGCGTGTATGTGTTTGTTTGTTTGTATTTGTGTGTGCGTGTATGTGTGCGTGTATGTGTGCGTGTGTGTGTGTGCGTATTTGTGTGTGTGTGTGTGCGTATTTGTGTGTGTGCATGCGTGTTTGTGTGTGTGTGCGTGTTTGTGTGTGTGTGTGTGTGCGTGTATGTTTGTTTGTATTGTGTGTGCGTGTGTGTGTGCGTGTATTTGTGCATGTGTGTATGTGTGCGTGCCTGTATGTGTGCGTGTATTTGTGCATGTGTGTATGTGCGCGTGTGTGCAAGCCTGCCTGTATGTGTGTGTGTATTTGTGTGTCTGTGTGTGTGTGCGTGTATGTGTGCGCGTGTGTGTGTGTGCGTGTATGTGTGCGTGTATTTGTGCATGTGTGTATGTGCATGTGTGTATGTGTGCGTGTGTGCAAGCCTGCCTGTATGTGTGTGTGTATTTGTGTGTCTGTGTGTGTGTCTATGTATTTGTGTAGACTACTCTCTGGAGGGCTCTCTGGAGGAGGACCTGCTCTCCCTCTCCCCGCCGCAGGACGCCCCCTCTGGCCTGGACTGGTTACTGCAGGAGCTGGTGGTCCTGCGCAGGGCCGTGTCAGAGCAGGACAGTGAGGGCTCGGTGCAGGCGCAGTGGAGAGCTCTGTGCCTGAAGCTGGACGTGCTGCTCTTCAGGGTCTACGTGCTGCTGTTCTGCCTGTACACGGGGACTCTGCTGCTGCTGTGGGCCGGCTGGAGCAGGGCCTGAGCCGCTCTCTCTCTTTACAATAAACATGTGCAGATTGTGATGAAGGAGACGACTTATGCTAAATTACCCGTTTCATTTTTCTTCAATCTTTTAACCCTGTTACAACATTGTTTTCTCATGGAGTTGGTTGTAGATCAGTCCACACCTAGCCTGGTCTTATCACACCATTGTACAAATTTCTTTTCGTACGAAGGTCTGGATTTTCTCCATTGAGCTCCGTTAGCAGGTGGTAGGTGTTAACTCCTTTTGCAGATTGAAATCTGGTCTGTGTTTACCGTGACGTATGTAACGCGCCCGAGTGAGTCCCTAGCATTTAGTATTTAGCCTAACTTTAGCATTTAGCTTAGCTTTAGCCATCTCCTTTGCCACTAATGCCGCTTTCAAATCAAAGTCAACGGTGATGCACGTTTGAGCGTGGAACTGCATGTGCGTCTCGGGATGAACACTCAGACGATGGTGCAGGAGCGGAAAATTGACGCACGCAGGAGATAAACATTGCTGGACGTTTCCTCGGGACTCTTGTGCAGCAACCAATCAGAGAGCCGCAAAGTAGTCACGGGGACATTAGTGTCTGAGCGAGAAGACTGAACATACTGTAAACAGCCAAAACAGGAGCTACACCAGGACTAAACCAGGGTTGACAGTGTGCTTGTGGATTTATGAGATTTCATGCTCCCGTGGTTGTATACAACTTCTCTGAGTGTGTTCGCCGATGCGGAAGTACCGTTTAATAATAAAATAAACGTATGGCGCACCTCTGTGAACACATACTGCTGTTAAATAAAGTCTGTGAAGGTCTCTGGACCCAGAGACGCTGCATTATCGGAGAAGAACTTTACACAAAAAGCCGCTAGCTTTACTCCGTTAGCATCAAAGTCCGCCCGCTACTTCCGCCACTTCCGCCCAGGACTTCTGGTCTGAAGACCCCTGCGTTTGAAAATCAGAGAATGTGAGTCTGGTGCGCGAGGCGTCAGCGTTCCAGCGTCGGCGTTCCAGCGTCGGCGTTCCAGCGTCGGCGTTCCAGCGTCGGCGTTCCAGCGTCGGCGGTCCAGCGTCGGCGTTCCAGCGTCGGCGTTCCAGCGTCGGCGTTCCAGCGTCGGCGTTCCAGCGTCGGCGTTCCAGCGTCGGCGTTCCAGCGTCGGCGTTCCAGCGTCGGCGTCCAGGTCGGCGTTCCAGCGTCGGCGTTCCAGCGTCGGCGTTCCAGCGTCGGCGTTCCAGCGTCGGCGTTCCAGCGTCGGCGTTCCAGCGTCGGCGTTCCAGCGTCGGCGTTCCAGCGTCGGCGTTCCAGCGTCGGCGTTCCAGCGTCGGCGGTCCAGCGTCGGCGGTTCCAGCGTCGGCGTTCCAGCGTCGGCGTTCCAGCGTCGGCGTTCCAGCGTCGGCGTTCCAGCGTCGGCGTTCCAGCGTCGGCGTTCCAGCGTCGGCGTTCCAGCGTCGGCGTTCCAGCGTCGGCGTTCCAGCGTCGGCGTTCCAGCGTCGGCGTTCCAGCGTCGGCGTTCCAGCGTCGGCGTTCCAGCGTCGGCGTTCCAGCGTCGGCGGTCCAGCGTCGGCGGTCGAGCGTCGGCGTTCCAGCGTCGGCGTTCCAGCGTCGGCGTTCCAGCGTCGGCGTTCCAGCGTCGGCGGTCCAGCGTCGGCGTTCCAGCGTCGGCGTTCCAGCGTCGGCGTTCCAGCGTCGGCGTTCCAGCGTCGGCGTTCCAGCGTCGGCGTTCCAGCGTCGGCGGTCCAGCGTCGGCGTTCCAGCGTCGGCGTTCCAGCGTCGGCGTTCCAGCGTCGGCGTTCCAGCGTCGGCGTTCCAGCGTCGGCGTTCCAGCGTCGGCGTTCCAGCGTCGGCGGTCCAGCGTCGGCGTTCCAGCGTCGGCGTTCCAGCGTCGGCGTTCCAGCGTCGGCGTTCCAGCGTCGGCGTTCCAGCGTCGGCGTTCCAGCGTCGGCGTTCCAGCGTCGGCGTTCCAGCGTCGGCGTTCCAGCGTCGGCGTTCCAGCGTCGGCGGTCCAGCGTCGGCGTTCCAGCGTCGGCGGTCCAGCGTCGGCGGTCGAGCGTCGGCGTTCCAGCGTCGGCGTTCCAGCGTCGGCGTTCCAGCGTCGGCGTTCCAGCGTCGGCGGTCCAGCGTCGGCGGTCGAGCGTCGGCGTTCCAGCGTCGGCGGTCCAGCGTCGGCGGTCGAGCGTCGGCGTTCCAGCGTCGGCGGTCCAGCGTCGGCGGTCGAGCGTCGGCGTTCCAGCGTCGGCGTTCCAGCGTCGGCGTTCCAGCGTCGGCGTTCCAGCGTCGGCGTTCCAGCGTCGGCGGTCCAGCGTCGGCGTTCCAGCGTCGGCGTTCCAGCGTCGGCGTTCCAGCGTCAGCGGTCTGAATGCGCCATAACGGAGCCTGTGGGGAGTAGAGCCACAAAATCTTTGCAGCAATGACATTTGCTAAACATTCCTCTTGCTCCAGCTTCAATTTCTTTTTATTTGGAGCCAAACCAGAACGGATTACTTTACTATCGCATTCGCCGCCATTGCCAAACTATAACCAGCTAATTCGTCACAAACTCCCCTGCTCGCTGAATGGTCGGAGGGGATTCAACCGATGTCACTGCAGACACTGGGAGCAGGCCCAGATATACATGTGCGGAAATAATAATTTACAAGAGTTTACGGATGGCTAAGACCAAGCTAATCCACACCAAGCCCCGGTGATCCAAGATGGCGCCGTATTCAAATGAATGTTTGTGCTCTGTGGCGCATGTGCCGGCACGGGCGCCGGAACTCGCATGTATTTGGGCATCGTCTGGTCCTCCCAGTTCTGTGCAGTGGACGAGCTCCCATGATGCATTGTGGCAAATACGCGCGTGTGGCTCTCATGCACGTGCACAGAGGGGCTCGGCTGCGCTCTGACCAATCAGAGCAGTTCATCAGAGCGGAAGTTAGAGCGAGAGCCAAACCAGCAGAGTTTGTGGCAGTAAAGTGTGGATTTAAACAAAACTGAAGGATTTAAGAAGAAAAAGAGTTCAGGATGACAAGGGGACACTAACATCCCCACAAGATCCGACCTTTATGAAAGCTGTAGGTTCTCTGTCAGCTGAGGTCGAGCTGTTTTAGTTTACATCGAGTTCTATGGGGAAAATTTCTGGGTAGCCCACGTTAATTAGTCTGGTTTAGTCCTCAGTACTGCGAGAATCCCCGAGCACATGGGTCCTCCAGCTCCAAGCTCGTAAGACCCTATCCAGTTATTAGAATAGATCCATGATCCACACCCATATCAGACACTTATTAAACAAATACTGGTGAAAATAGTCTAAAAGCCTCTGTCTCAGCCCTGTAATAATATGATGTCATTGCCACTATGACATCACACTTAGGGCAGTTTTCTGCCTTTTAAAACAAAATACAAGCCATGCATTAATATTTGCTTTTCTTGCTAAAAATAATGTATATTCTTTTTTAAATGTCAATTGTAATGATTCACATGTCTATTGTAAATGCAAACTTAAACTGGGTGCACTAATAATAAATGGATTACATTAGAACACAGATGCCCTCTTCAAGAAGGGCCAGAGCCGCCTCTACCTGCTGAGGAGGCTCAGGTCTTTTGGAGTGCAGGGGCCACTCCTGAAGACCTTCTATGACTCTGTGGTGGCATCAGCCTCTTGTACGGTGTGTTCTGCTGGAGCAGCAACATCACAGAGAGGGACAGAAAGAAGCTGGACAAGGTCATCAGGAAGTCCAGCTCAGTCCTGGGCTGTTCCCTGGACACAGTGCAGCAGGTGGGGGACAGGAGGGTCCTGGACAAACTAACATCTATGCTGGACCATGACTGTCGCCCCCTGCAGGACACTCTCTCTGCTCTGGAGAGCAGCTTCAAAACAACAACTGTTTTAAGCGCTTTGTGATTCTGGTCTGTGAATATTAATAAATATTACTAACTTTACTTCAGTGACAGACTTATTCTCGCTGTGGAGAGGAGAGGTTCCATAGGTCTTTCTTTGCTGTCAGACTGTACAATGAGAACTGCTGAGCCTGAACATGTCACTCATCCATCAGACTGAGATATAGCACTAATACATTTATCAGTGTCTGAATCAAGCTTCTGTCTGCTCCTCAAAAGTTATGTTCACATCCTTTTTTGTAATAAGATATTATAAATAAAATATTTCTTTATTACCTTAAAGGAGACTTGTGTGAAATTATTGTTTACTTAATAAAAATGTTGACGTATTTCATGATTTATTATATTTAATGGTGGCATATTTAAGTTATTTTGTTAAACGTACTGAATGCAAGGCGTGCACCCCCCACCCCCCCGCAGAAACAACACGCCATCACCACTTTATGAACCTATATACTGTATATATATATATATATATATATGTATATATATATATATATATATATATATATATAGTATATGGCATAGTGTACAGAAACATCTGTGCAGAGTATGGGCTGGAAACTCCAAGGTCTAAGTGGGAAACTCCTCCAAAGGTGGTGGAGAATGAGCGTGCAAAGATCCTGTGGGACTTCCAGATACAGACCGACCGAATGGTAATGAACCAACCTGACATCGTGGTGGTAGACAAAGGGCAGAGGACAGCCGTGGTGGTGGACAAAGGACAGAGGACAGCCGTGGTGGTGGACAAAGGGCAGAGGACAGCCGTGGTGGTGGACAAAGGGCAGAGGACAGCCGTGGTGGTGGACAAAGGGCAGAGGACAGCCGTGGTGGTGGACAAAGGGCAGAGGACAGCCGTGGTGGTGGACAAAGGGCAGAGGACAGCCGTGGTGGTGGACAAAGGGCAGAGGACAGCCGTGGTGGTGGACAAAGGGCAGAGGACAGCCGTGGTGGTGGACAAAGGGCAGAGGACAGCCGTGGTGGTGGACGTGGCAATTCCAAGCGATGGTAACATCCGGAAAAAAAGAACATGAAAAGCTTGAGAAATACCAAGGTCTCAGAGAGGAGCTGGAGAGGGCCTGGAGGGTAAAGGTGACAGTAGTGAGAGGGCCTGGAGGGTAAAGGTCACAGTAGTGCCCGTGGTGATCGGTGCACTCGGGGCAGTGACCCGAAGCTAGAAGAGTGGTTACAGCGGATCCCTGGAACAACCTCGGACATCTGGGTCCAGAAATGTGCAGTGCTAGGAACAGCAAAGATACTGCGCAGAACCCTCAAGCTCCCAGGCCTCTGGTAGAGGACCCGAGCTTAGAGAGGGATAACCGCCCACGGAGGGCCAAGGGTGAGTGGTAAATAAATAAAAATAACAAAAAAATTATATATATACAGTATATAGTATATATACAGTATATTGTATATATACAGTATATATATATATATATATATATATATGGACTGCCATATATATATATATATATATATATATATATATATATATATATATATATATATATATATATATATATATATATATATATATATATATGTGTGTGTGTATGATTCTAAAAGTTACTAATATCAATAATGAAGCAACATCACTTTATAGGCCACAGCAGCAGGTGAAGCAGCAACAGCTAAAAAAATAAGAAAAACAACGATTATAAAAGGCCAAACAACAACTGCTTCAGAGCTGCTCAGGATTTGCTGCTGTTTCCAGCGCATTCTAAAGTAAACCTTGTATTAGAATATATACTGTACACATATATCCAGGGCTGGACTATATTCAAAATGCTGCAGCCCGAGTCCTGACTAGAACCAGGAAGTACGACCACATTAGTCCGGTCCTCAGGTCTCTGCACTGGCTTCCCGTGGCCCAGAGGATAGACTTTAAAGCAGCTCTCCTGGTGTACAAGTCTCTCCATGGCCTTGCACCAAAGTACATCCATGATATGCTAGTCCCATATGAACCAGCCCGGACTCTGAGGAGCGCAGGGACGGGACTCCTGTTAGTGCCCAGAGTCAGGACTAGACAGGGGGAGGCTGCTTTTCAGATTTATGCAGCTGGAGTCTGGAACAGTCTTCCTGAGGATGTGAGACTGGCTGCCTCTCTGTCAATGTTCAAATCCATGTTAAAGACTTTTCTTTTTTCCCGTGCATACAACTAGAGAATTTTATCTTTTTAACACACCTTGTTATTTATTGTTGTAACTTTTTGTGTTTTTAACTATTTTATTGTTTTTAATTACTTGTGTGATTTTTATGTTTTTAAATTACTTATGTGATTTTAATGCTTTTTAATTACATATGTGTTTTTAATTGTATTTTAATGGTGATGATTTGTGCATTGTGTGGTGTGGACTGTGAGGCGCTTTGTGTTGCCCTGTGCAGGAAAAGCGCCCTATAAATAAAGATTGATTGATTGATTGACTGGCCATCGGGCGTACCGGGCAATGCCAGAAGGGCCGATGCCCATATTTGGGCCGGTCTGTCTGCCTCATACAAAACACATGTTTATGAAAAGTGTAAATCCGTTGAGAAATGTTCGAGGGGAGCGCGCGTGTCCGCGGGGCACCTGCTGTATGTACTCGAACGGGATTCCACCACCTCAGCGGCCGCAGTGTTCCCGCATCCAGCGGCTCTGAGCTGGACGCAGGAACCGCTCAATGGGAGCCGCTCACAACACAACACGGTGAGCGCGTAGCCGCAACGTGACCATGTACCCAAGACCATAAACGCGCACAGGACCATGCATGTCTTTGCGTAATTTGTGCACCCAATAAATACACCGCTGCAGAAAACAGTCCGCGTCTCCCCTCTCCTCAAAATTAAAGCTCGGGTACCTAAATTTTCCTTTGCATTAAAAGTTGATGTTTGAGCCCAAAAATAAAATGTTGTGAACAGATTAAACAGATTTAGAGCCAGCTAATGGCTGACAATATGCATTTCATAAATGTTTACCAATTCTCATCCCTGTAACAAACAATAGTATTGTCTGTGTCCACCTCCCTCACTCTGAGACATTTTTATTACTCTGTTTAATGTAGACTATTGTACTTTGTTTTATTGTTGAAACTGTAGACATCCTGATCCTCTACAGTATTTGCTTCCACATACTGTATAAACCAGGGGTCGGCAACCTTTAGTGCCCCTAAAGTGGCTCCTGGAGCCTTTTCAAAAATGTCTGAAAATGGAGTGTGAGGGCTATATTTTATTTCTAGTTTGAATGTGGTTTTTGTAGGAGGAAAAACATTATTGACGTTTTTCAATTCTGCAAAAACTTGTATAAGTAATATTCAATTTAAACATTTCTGTCAACGTAGTGCGTCATATCCTGTGACGCGGCCCGTGCCAGGCGGCCGCTGCTGTAAACAAACCGGCGTGTGTGCATTATAGACTGTGTGTGCCCAAAGATAAAGAGAGAGTCGATAAGACTGGACTAAGAATGATAATGAACATTTGCTTTCAGTCAATGAGGAAGGACT